ATGCCAGATGTAGGTGATGGGGAGGAAGGCAGCAAATCACACTGCCACGTGTGTACCTATGCAACAATCTTGCATGTTCTTCACATGTACCCCAAAACCTAAAGTGCAATAAAATAAATAAATGGGGGAAAAAAGATTAAAAAAAAAACCATCTTGTAATACTAACCATTTCCACATAGGAAATTAGTCTCTTCAGTAAATTACGTATCACTGTAAACAAAAATATGCAGGAACTGAGAGAAATCAGTTCTGATTAAAAAAAAGAAAAATTAGCACGTTTAATGCAATACTATAAGCATTGAGTAAACACCATGAGACCCATACAAATTGCCACTAGTGATGTTAGAAGTGCTCCCAAGAAGCAGAGAAAAGTCATGACATTACAAAAAAAAAGTTGAATTGCTTGATATATGCCATAAATTGGGGTCTGCAACTGCAGTTGCAGTTCCCTGCCATTTCTAGATAAAAGAATCCAGTGTAAGGACCATTGTAAAAAAAGAAAATTTGGGAAGCCATCACTCCAACTATACCAGCGGGCTCGAAAAGCAGGCACTTTTTGTGAAATACCTTTTTAATCTCATTCAAAAATGAGGCTATAGAAAAGGCATACATTTAGACTCTAATTTGTTTCAAGAAAAAGCAAAGTCATTACATGACAAAGTGAAAGGAAGGTGAAGAATCTAAAGCTGGAGAGTTTAATGCCAGCAAAGGATGGTTTGATGGTTTAGAGAGAGGCTTGCTTAAAAATGTCAAGATAACAAAAGAAGCAGCTTCTTGCTGACCAAGAGGTAGCAGATGAATTCCCAGACACCATTAAGAAAATCCTTGAGGAGAAAAGATATCCGCCTGAGCAGTTTTTTTGTTTTTTCTTTACATTCAAACTGTTACTGGAGAGCAGGTTTGTGGTTTTTTCTTTTCTTTTCTTTTCTTTTCTGAGAGTATACCAAGTAAGGAGAGCAGGTTTTTAATGCAGATGAATGTGCTCTATTCTGTGGGGAGTGGTGCAGTGTGTTTTGAGGAGGAGAAAGCCACAAAAGACATGTATTAGTAAGGAAGAGAAGCTAGCACGAGGATTTAAGGCAGAGAGGAATAAATAACTCTACTGTTTTGTGCAAATGCAGTTGAGTTTATGATCACAACCACCCTTATCTATAAATCTGCTAACTCTTGAGCCTTGAAGGGAAAAGATAAACACCAGCAGCCAGTCTTCTGATTGTGCAACAAGAAGGTCTGGACAACAAGAACACTTTTTCTGGATTGGTTTCATCAATACTCTGTCACTGAAGTCAGAAAATACCTTGCCAGTAAGGGACTGCCTTTTAAAGTTCTTTTGATATTGGACAGTGCCCCGGCCACCCAGAGCCCCATAAGATCAACATCAAAAGCACTGAAATGGTATACTTGTCTCCCCAAACATGTTTCTAATTCAGCCTATAGATCAGAGGCTCATAAAGACCTTTAAGGCTCATTATACACGTACTGCATGGAAAGGATTGTCAATGCTATGGAAGAGAACTCCAAGAGAGAGCCATCATGAAAGTCTAGAAGGATTACACCATTAAAGATGCCATCATTGTTGTAGAAAAAGTGGTGAAAGCCATTAAGCCTGAGACAATAAATTCTGCTTGAGAAAACTGTGTTCAAATGTTGTGTGTGACTTCACGGGATTTATGCCAGAGCTAATCAAGGAAATTATGAAAGATATTGTGAATATGGCCAAAAGAAAAAAAGGTGGGATAAAGGATTTCAAGAAATAGATCTCACCAAAATTCAAGAGCTAATAGACACTGTAAGGTTTATTACTGAGTTAAATGAGGAAACGGAGACTGGAGTAAGAAAAGTAAAAGCCAATTTATTCAGCTCCCGGGCGAGGTTCTATGGTCCGGGAAAGGGGCCAGAGGAGTCCCGCCTTTCTTCTTAGGGCATGTGGTTTTACAGGGAATAGAGGTAGTTGATCAACTGCAGGGGAAACAAAGCGGAGGTAGTCTCATTGCTTATGAAGGGACTGGTCACAGGTGAGGTGAGCCGCCATTGGCAGCCAGGCTGGGCCACGGGCAAGTGGGCTGGTTGAGGACGTAAGGGGCAAGCTGCCATAGGGCAGATTTTGGCGGGTCTTTTTAAAACTTTGGCGGGCTTTCCAACGGGGCGGGGCCGAGGGCATAGTTTGCCGGTGAGTGCAGGACTGAGATTGGAATGCGGAAATGGGTATGGGGAGCCTGCATGAAAGGGGTGTGGGGAGTCCGCATGGAGAGACCAGATGCTGGGTAATGTGCTCAGCATGATGAGGTAGTTTTCAAGCGCTGAGAGCCCCGGCGAGGCAACCGGCCTTACAGACACCACACTAGAGGAATTAACAGAAGATGACTTGATGGAGAAGAATGCTTCTAAGCCAGGATCAAACGATGAGGAAGAAGACATAGAAGCAGCAGTGCCAGAAAATAAGCTGACATTAGACAGTCTGACAGAAGAATTCTGACTATTCAGGACTAGTTTTGACTTCTTTTATGACATGGACCCTTCTGTAGTATGATACAGGCACTAAAACTAAAACAAATGGTAGAAGTAAGAAGGGGTACCATATAGAAACATTTTTAGAGAAATGAACAAGAAAAAAGTCAGACAAAAATGAAATATGTTTCCGAAAAGTTACACTGACTGCCTGTCTCTTCCACCTTCCCTTCGACCTCTTCATCTCTTCTTCGTGAAAAGAAGCATCAAACATAAAATTGTTAGCAGTGGTGGTTTATGTGAATTTCTCAAGAGCTAAAAGCGTATGCTTATCAATAGACAGTGCAGCTGGTGGGAGTGGGCTTAGCAAGGAGCCTACAAGTCTGGTTACATCCCAGTGCTTCAAGGGAGTGTTATGTCCTTAGGCACTATGTTTAGAATATCAGAGCTTAGGTCACTCTGTTTCTGGGAACATGCCGATAATAGAGAGGCTTTCCTCCCCAGAGGCCTCCATGGTCTTCTGCAGTTTAAAGTGGAAGTGATTTAAAGTGTTCCTGACTTCTTTTATCTGTTACTTACAACCAGTTTATATAAGCACACTGTAAACCCTTTCTCCATTGCTGCTTCCCCCAACATAGAATACGTGTTAATCAATTGTGTCGTTGGTAAGGCTTCCAGTCAACAGTAGGCTATTAGTAGTTGAGTTTAGGGGTGTCAAAAGTTATGCATGGATTTTTGACCATTTGAGGGGACAGCATCCCAAACCCCTACATTGTTCAAGGGTCAACTGTATTCAGTATTACATAAGGATATATGAGAAATGATCAGCAGGATTGTTTAATGAGTAATTCTAGAGGCCCAGTTTTCCTAGGAATAAGCTAGCTGGCATGAGGACTCCTCTCAGTTGGAAAAGCTGTACACATCCTCCAGGTCTCAGGGGTAGTGTCCCCAGCCTTCCCAGCACTCCCCAAAATAGCTGGGTCAAACTGCTTAGCTTGTGGGCCCAAATATCCATTTCCATCACATTCCCAGACAACCCTTCCCATACACACATTATGCAATCACTCTTGGTCTTATTAACCAGGATGAGGACCCTCTGCAAGAAAAAGGCCTGTTAAATCTAGCTCAGCTCCGCCTAAGCATGCCTCTGCACCTGCTGTCTCTCATGCCCAGGAGTCACGGTCTTTTCTAAGTGACACTTGCTGGCTTTTACCTCAGTTTACTAATTCACTGAGTGAACTAGGGAAAAATCACTTCCTCTCCTTCTGAGCCAGTTTCTCCTTCTGCTAAATAGATTTGATAGTCTAAAAATCCCTTTCAGCTTTAATTTTTATCAAATGCTTTTTGTGTCCCTAATAAAGTGTGATCATGTTTCATGATGATATCATGGAATCATACATAATTATATGTATATAGTTATACTATGTTATGTATTAATATATAATTATGTATTATTGTATGATATGTAAATATACATTATTAACATAATACTTAATATAACTCAGTATTATGTCTCTTCCATCGTCTCTTTGACCTTTGACTAATATAATTAATAATATATAATTAATATATAATTGATTATATTAAATGTTAAATAATATATAATTAACTAAGTATGATATAATTAATATATAATTTATTATGGTAAAAATATTATGATTATATATAATACATAATCATATATTGTGATTATTTTATCTAACTATAATTATATAATTTTAATTGCTACAATTTTTTTAAGCTCCTACCATATGTTGAAACATTTTTTCTCTTTCACATCCGCCACCACCATTTGCCTAATAATAGTAATTCATTCTTCAAGCTTGTCTCAGGTTGATTGTCAATTTCTTCAGAAAGCCTACTCCAACTTTTCTTAGCCTGAGATAGATGTCCCTACTGTTCTCAGTGTTCCCTGTATTTTCCCTGTTACAACACTTGTTGCGTTATATTGGAATTGCTTGTTTAGTTGTTGATTACTCCAAAAAAGAGTAAAAACTCCATGAAAAGAGGATGATCAATTGCTTTGTTGCTCTGTATATTGCCAGCACCCAGAAGACTGTCTGGCACATAGTAGGCACACAATAGATAAAATAATTAATGTTAGGCCCTTTAAATTCAAAAAAACTAGCACAGTAATACAACACCAATGTTAACTAAAGGAAGTTAGTTGCACTTCCTTTCTTCAGCTTAGCTATAAAAAGGAGGACAAAAACTCCAGTGAAACTGACTCTGCTAGAACAGTGCCGTGCTTTTCCACAGAAGATTAGACCCCAAGAGAGATGGCTCAACACCATGTATGGATCTTGCTCCTTTGCCTGCAAACCTGTGAGTTCTGACCCTTGCTGATCCCCTCCTAGTTTTCCATAAAGTTTTAAAACTTGCCCTTAAGAAAGACTGAACTGTTCTTTTGATGTTTGTAACAGAACTGCTGAGTCTCAGTATTTACTGTACTCAGCAAGATCCAACTGGCTGGGGGGAGACTTAAAAAATCCAAACCTAAGTGGTTTTCAGCTTTAAAGTCTATATTTCTGAATTTTATCTGGTTTTGGAGATCTCAGTTTCCAAAGGTCTGAAGCAAATCCTTCTCAGAGGAGCCAGAACTTGGTAAACCCTCCCACAAAGTCTGGAAAAGGAAACATCACCTGAAAGCTTGAATGACTTAAAAGCAATTTCTTCTTGGCATTCAATTGTGGTGGTTTTTGAGACAGAAGATGTCTTTCCTAATTATAGTTGATTGCTCCATCAGGTTAGAGTGATGCTTGACTCATTGTTATCCTTGCGTAGGCCTCGTCTCTATAAATTCCCTTTATTTTCAAAACACGGAGACATTATGCTGCTTTTATCCTTCAGAAACTCCAAAATAAATGAGGAAGAGATTACTGTCCCATTTTACACAAATAGTCTAAAAAAATAGTTGGAAAACTTCAATTAAAAACACGATTTTTCTTGCTTATGGCATAACAGTAAACTAAAAGAACAACATGAATATTGATTGTTATTGGTACAAAGAAAACTGTGTAACATTAACACAGGTCAGATCAAATTTTTGGAGCCTCTGCTGGCTGCTCTAGAACGGCAAACAGAAAATGCAACTAGGTGAGGAAAAGTTGGTTCTGGGAATGTCCTTAATCTTCCAGAGAGAGACTAGACAAGGTGGCATTTGATACCACTTAATTTTCAAAACATTTTACAATATTTATGCCTACATTCTTATGTTATCCATATGAAAACCATTGAGATGGGAAAGATAGATGTTATTAATTACATTATGCAAGAAAAATCAAGTAAGATTTAGAGGTTAAAAAATTCACCTGAAATTTCAATACCTAAATTGGTAGAGGTAGAAATAGACATTGGTTTTTCTAATCTTAAGGTTAATCCCAGTCTTATTGGTTCTTCTTTCTGCTCCACCTGACCTCCTTACTCACTGTTTTCAAATTCTTGATGCAAAAGGTTAATACCTGCTAAGATAAAAGGTAGCTCTAGGATACACTTCTTTCATCTACTGAAACTGAAATAAATTGTCAAATCAGCCAGTAGTGAATTATTTTGTTTATGAGTTTTGTGACCCTGAGTAAGTTATATTCCTCCTCTGACTTTTGTTTCAGCTTCAAAATGGGGAAGGTATTAATAGAGTAGAATTGTTTTGAGAATCAAAATGATGATAATGCATGTACAACACTTGGCATAGTAGCTGAATGTATCGTTTAACAGATATTAGCTAATGCTGCTGTTTTTCACACTTACTTTTCATGCATTCTTAGGAGGAGACATGGCTTTACTGCACGGAGATCCTGGGCAGGACTCCTCTGTCTGGGAATGGTCCAAGGAACATAAACAGGAGAAAAGTTGGTGGGAGTTTGAGCTTAGGTGTTGGTTGTTGGAATTCTGGAAAAGGAGACTAGGAATGAGATGTCCATTTAATCAAAGATCTATGAAAGAGGGAATGGGAGTTTTCTTTGTTTGTTTTTGTTTTTTAATAAAAGTAAAGCCAGGCGTACTTTTTACATACTGTCTACTTTTACCGAATTATCCGTTTGCCTGTTAAGGATTATTCCTGCAAACCTTTTCTGAGCACAAAAATATACCCTGAATTCCTCCTGCTGCTGTTCCTGTTAGAGGTAGTCCTTTATATTCAGTACTGGGCTTCAGAGTCTACATTTTATGCATTTTCCTGGAATTCAGAGCAGTTGAAGAGGCTGGGACGCAGTGGAGAGATGCAGGGAGAAATCCCCATTTTCCCCCAGAAATCACCGACATAAGGAAAGTCTGAGTGGGCAAACTCATGACTGTTCTATGTTGGAAAAGTTTTCTGAGTCAAAATTCACAGTCTTATGCTCTGATCTCAACTTTCTAATCACGACTTTGGAAACACCATGACTCTGACTGTCTCTCCACATACCCTAGGAGACACTCCCACTCTGGGGGTAGGAGACGGAGCAGTCCACAAGTTTTAATCCTTGCCCATCCCCTCTACATATTCTGTCTCACACTCTTAATTCTTCCCTTTCTCTGCTCCATTCTTATTTCTATTTCTTCAATTTCGTATCTTATCGCCCATCAATAATACTAATAAATAACCATTTATGGAGCAATCACTGCATATTCGGCATTACTCTAAGTAGTCTACAGTTATTATTTTGTCTAATCTTTACAACACACTATGAGATACGTACTATTAATATGTGCATATACAGACGAAAGCATTGATACACAGAGTCTCAAAGGTCATTTAACAAAAAGTGAAGGAAGCAGAATTTAAACTTCCTTCACAGAAAGGAAGCATTCATACACAGAGAGTCAAAGGTGAAATATACAGATAAAAGCATTGATACACAGAGAGTCAAAGGTCATTTAACAAAAAGTGAGGCAAGTAGAATTTAAACTTCCTTCACAGAAAAGAAGCATTCATACACAGAGAGTCAAAGGTGAAATATACAGATAAAAGCATTGATGCACAGAGAGTCGAAGGTCATTTAACAAAAAGTGAAGGGAATAGAATTTAAACTTCAGTGTCCTTAGATTTAACATCTGAGTCATGCTGCGTCCACCCACTTTGATGCTGAAGTAGAGTAAATTACTCTCCCCACTATTAATGTTTATCACATTTGGGAATTTGTCAGTAAAAAGTGATGATTTATTTATTTCCGGCAAGACAGGATTGTTGGGATAGAAGCTGCACCTGTCTCTATACCTGCCCACAGAGGAAGAAGGAGCTGCCGGCAGGTCCTTGCCAATAACAGAAATTGAGGCAGGCCAGTGAGGCAGAATACCAAGCAAATAACCATCTCCAGACATGTTTCAAAGACCATTCACTTTAATATTATTCAAACATGAGTTGAATTAGTTTCTTTAAACAAATAAAAGTCCAGTATCAACATGATCTCGACGTCCTGCTGGATGTTAAACATAGTCATGGGCGTTTCAGCAGTTAAGACTTAAAAGTCCGAGAGGTGAGTGGGCCCACTGTGAATAACCGGACCCCTTTGTTACACTCAGTGTTCAAGTACATGCTAATAGAGGGCAGCAATGATAAAATGGTGTATGGCGATGATCCCATGTCTGTTTGGAGATTGTGTGTGTGTGTGTGTGTGTGTGTGTGTGTGTGTGTGTGTATGTGTGTGTATGTGTGTGTGTGTTTTCAACGAACTGATTCAAGTTAAACTAAATCCCGATAAAGATGATTTAAAGTAAAAATTCCAGGGGAAAATAATGTACTATTGCATGGGGGTGGTAGGTTCCTTTTTCTTAAAATCTCATGATCAAGGACTTTCCGTCGCTTTGAAGAATGACACAAAATTCCTGCTGTCTAACCCTGTGCTTCCCCTTTCTGTCTATGTCCCTTCACTCAGTGTGAGCAGTTATAATGAACTCTCTTTTGGGTACTACAGGCTAAAGCTACCTCTGGTCACTCTCCCACACCTGCAATACTCAGCGATATTCTACCCCCACTTTTTGATTCTAGGAGGCAGTGTGGGTGGAGAAGAGAAGAGGAAGTTTAGCTAGTCCCGCTAACACCAAACACACACACACACACACACACACACACACACACACACGCACACACCCGAAATGCTTATTTGGTGGATGCTAAGAAAGTAGGGGGGTGGAGGTATCTGTTAAGCAACAGGACAGCCTTCCCCATTTCCACTCTTATTAATAGCTATTTGCTGACTTTAACATCTCCCCAATACCCCAACTCTTATTTTTCCCTTCACAGTTGTCTGAGATGTTAGTTTAGTCTCTTTGAAGATGTTTGTTTTACATAGCAAACACATATGGTGCCTAGTATATGCCAGGCACTATTTTAAGAGGTCTACAAATATTAACTCATTTAACCCTCATAATATTTTTATGTGGTCAAATATTGTGCTACTATTACCTTCGCTAATGTGCTAATATTACCTTCATTTTAAAGTTGGGGAAACTGAGGTACAGAGAGGTTACTGACTTTCCCTGCCATTGATCTGAAGTTCTTGCATCGAGGAGTCTTCAAGATGAAGACAAGGCCTCTTGTCTTTCTTGACTTTCCCTAGGGTTTATGGCAGGATTCTAGCCCAGGCAGGCTAGTTCTCAATCACTGACTCATGGTGCCACACAGGCGAATCCACAAGGCAAGGCTCCCCTTGGGACCACTAGACTGTTCTCCATTAGTGCACACACTTGAGAGCACTCTCATGTCATCTAATCCTCATAATTCCTCAAAACAACAGGATGGCTCTATTTTTAATTTTTTTTTTACCAACTAAAACCCTGAGACTTAGCAAGTAAGTGACGTTCATGGTCATTTAGCTAGTCAACAGCAGACCCTTGACTTGAATGTGTTTCCTCATCCCTAGTTAATGACACTTTTACTAACTATGCTGTGGGTCCCCATTCTGTGAATCTAAAAAAATTTCTTCACAAACAGTATAGAATTTTGGAGTAGAAAGAAGTTACAGTTAGCCATCTTCCTCTTCTTAATAATCAGTTTAAATCCTTCATCTTTCACATCAAGACTCAGAGACCAGTAAAGAGTCCTCTCTTGCCCTTACTCTTTTTCTCGCTGTGATTTTCTGCCTTGTTTTCTATTGTTGGAAAAGAATAATTGAGTCAGTTGCAAAAAAAAAAAAAAATTCTTGTGCAGTAGAACAATCACGGTTCACTGCAGCCTTGACCTCCCAGGCTCAAGCGATCCTCCTGTCTCAGCTTCCCAAGTAGCCGGGACTACAGGCACATGTCACCACACCTGACTAATTTTTTTTTTTAATTTTCTTTTCTGTAGAGATGAGATCTCATTATGTTGCCCAGGCTGGTGTTCATTTTTTCAACAAACATTTAATAAT